ATATGTTATGTTAATAGACTAAAAGGCCTTGGGTCGGCACTTTATAAAGTTTAGTTTTTTATTTGTTTGATAAGTGGGGTGATATATTTATATCTAATGAAATTATTTTTTACACAAAATAAAATCATTCAACATAATAAGGTCAAAAATGCATACAAACAAAAACAAAATAAAAAAACTAATTTTAACATTTTACCAAAAAAATAAGGTTAATTAGAGTCATTTTCAATTGATCCCAATGAATTTTTATCATTTTAAAGCGTTGTATGATAACTTTGTTATAAATATCACTGAGAATAATATATATATATATATATATATATATATATTAGTCATCATATTATCACTTATTTGATTACATAATTGAGTTTTTATAATTTTTATAATTAAAAGTGTTTTCTCTATAATAAAAATTACAATCGATAAAAGCCAATATCAAAGTCCAACTCATTTTCAACTCCTCTACTATCGTTTGACCACTTTTTACACATCAACCTTCACATATTAAATTTAAATATTATTTGATAAAATTTAATGTTAATTGAATAAATTTGGTCTTAAATTGATAAATTTGAATATTATTTTGTGTTAATTTAATAAAATTAAATATTAATGTAGTGTTAATTTGATAAAATTTAATGTTAATTGAATAAATTTGAATGTTGCTTTGATAAAATTGAATATTAATTTAGTATTAAATTAAAGAAATGATATTAATTTGATGAGATTAAATGTTAAATTAATAGAATTTAATATAATTAAATTTTAATTTGATAAAATTGAATGTCAATTTGGTGTTAATTTAATGAAATTAAATAATAATTTAATGTTAAATTAAAGAAATGATATTAATATAATTAAATTAAATATCAAATTTGTGTTGATTTGATGAAATCAAATATTAATTTAGTTTAAATTAAAGAAAATACATTAATTTGAAAAAATTAAATATTAAATTGATGAACTTGAAGATTAATATAATAGAACTAAAAGGGAGTGCACTGAAATTTTAAAATCAAGAAGAGGGGTATCATTGAAGTTAGGCCTATTTACAGAGGACGTGGATAAAATTTATTCTATAAAATACTGAGGGATATTTTTGTAGAACAATATTTGTTGTTAACGTCGGAAGCAAACAATAATGGGTGTCAATGAAATTTCAAAATTAAGAGCAGATATTATTGAATTTAGACCTAATTACAAACAAATTAGATAAAATTTTCTCTAACTTCTTCATTGAGATAAACTTAAGAGAATCGTGACGTACGACGGTACTGGGAGGGAGGAGGGGCATCGAGATTTAAAATCATGATTAGGTAGTAGTTGAAACCAATTCGCAATTTAATTTTGAATGAGCATATGATGACATTCATTTCGTCACTAGGGATGGGTTATCCACATGTCCCGTTAATTGGCCTGAAAAAAATAAGTCTAAAACTTGATATGTTCGATAGTTGATCTGTCCGAGCTCGAGCTTAATATCCTTAAAAAAAGGCTTAGATTTGCCCCCAAATCCATTACTTAGCCCGAAATCCGGCCCAAGAGTCCGCCCATCAAACCCATCCCGATCACCCTTCTTTTAAAAAAAAGTTACACTTTTATATCATTAAATTTGAAACTTTGTAATAAGTCTCCCAATGTCAGAATTTAAAATTTTAAAAATTTAGATACTATAAATAATGTATTATTTTATTTTCTATTTATTAAACATACAAGTTTTAAATGATAAAGTAATACAAATGATAGATAAGTGAGTAGATGTCAATCTATTTAGAATGTATTCATTATATTGGATATAATTCATTTCCTAATTAAAAATAAAATTATTTATTATTTTATTTTTATCTATTTTGACTCTATTTTTGGTTCAAAAATATAATTTATATAAATATTAAGTTATAAAAATATTTATTATTTTTAAATAAAGTTATATATAAAAAAGTTCGTGAACAAGCCCGTTCAATAGGTTTATGGGTTGGATTGCGGGTAACCTATCTCTATCCAAAGTCTGGCCCGATCCGGCCGATAACTCACTTGGATAAGAGTTTAGGTTTACACTATCCAAAACGGCCATTTCACGGGCCTAACCCGACCCAACCCATGAACACCGCTATTCGTCACATTCCCACAACCACTATTTGTCACATTCCCACAACCACTGTTCGTTTGTATCAACCATATAACTCTTCCTAATAAAGCTACTATTTGGTCTTCATTGCTCAAAGGCAAACCAATATTAATTGGTTTCTCAAATTTTACTTCAAATTACACAAGGACAAACCATATCAGTCAGATCAGATCTTCCTCTTATCTCAACTGTCATCAATTCACATATAGTTTTATCCTTTCTGTGGCAACACATGTTTATCTCAACATCTGCATTTCATCCACACCAATAAATTTCTACTAAATGCATAAAATTCTAATTGAAACCAATTGTAAGATATAATACAATAGAGTAAGAGAACTGTACAATTTGGGAAATTGAAATACACTTATATGGATTTTCCTCGTAAAACTCAGTGTATGTCAATACTTAAATGTCTTTATTCGTCGATGTCACGCCGATGAGGGAAAGCTTAAAGGGCAGTCCTGAACACCAGGCTATCGCCCAAGAGAAAGCTCGCGGCCTATAAATTGTTAAATCACGTATTAGCTTTACCAAGAAAGAAACAAAACCGAAAACATAGTTTATATTGTTTTAAAGCATAACTGGCTAATCCCTAGAAAAACTCATTTCTGATTATAAATTTCTGGAATAATAAAATAATTTAAAGGGATTTAATAACATACCATACATCCACCACCAATATGGTGAGAAATCTTTCACCACTGCTCTTTTCTGTTCATGTTCTTAAGTTCTAATCAAACAGTTGATTTATGAAATTGAAATCAATGCTTCTAGCAGGTACAACACCATTGGGTGTTAAAGAATAGAGCAAGAATGCCACCATGAGTCAGCTGCTAGAAACAGGAAGATTAATATAATTCACTGCAAAAAGTACCGATGTTTTGGTGAACTAAGCTAGTCGAAAACTATAAACCAGACAACTTGAAAACTAGAGCATCAGAGTTCATATTCACAAGAAGAAATAAGATCCAATTGCATTAGTCATGGAGTTAAACCTCATGGGGTATTTCTGTGTCCATTTACTTGTGTCTGATTTCTCAAAATATAGGTACCAGGTCATTTTATTCTCAAAATCTTATACAGCTACTAAGTCACTAGTTATCTAACACAAGAAAACTTGATGGATCAATGTTTGATGCCACTAGAGGCATCATATATGTCTTGGTCACCTATGTAAGTGTAGTATTCTGGAGTCACATGGAAAAGGGGGATAACATTCATTTCTTTTTTCAGTTTCACACTCTTATAAGAAAGTTAAGGAGGATATCTTCAGGAAATCAAATTGACAGAAAGAAATCATAGAGGTATATGTTTATATTCGGAAGTTTAGAACATTCTCATTAATAGGTTCCATTTTTTTTCCCCTTAAATTTTGAAAGTATATTGAGGCCATTGAGTGGAAGCATATAGGGTGTTCAGAGCTGAAATTGTAAACCTCCACTGAGGCTTTAAAGACTGGCATAAGAACTTCAGGGTAATGGTAGTAGGTAGCAACCACAAGCTGATCATTCAATTCTTCTCTATACTTCCGGTATTCCTCTTATTCATTGTCTTTTTCTTCTCTATTTTATATTGCTCAAAGATTTCCTGGTCGAATTTTTCTTAATTTGGACTAACATTGATGGTGGGTTTAATACATTTCCGAATAAAGTTCAACATTCCCTACCAACATGAAGTGGTTATCATATAATTTGAGCATATATTTCAAATATCTACCCAATTACAGGCAAAAACAGATATTAGGGACACGATATCGCTCGATGGATATGGTTGTTTGCATGGCATTAGAAATCAAGCACAATTTCAGTATAAAATTACAAACTATCAAACAAAATGAAATTGGGAGGGGAAGAAAAAACTATAAAAATTTGACAGATATTAATCACCCACTGAGCATGCTATAGACCCATGATCAAGTTTCACTGCAACCATAATAATGCTTGTGACAATCCTCCACTAGACTCATTATGCCAAAGAGGAACTTGAACCTCAAATAATTAAATTCACAGAAACAAAATTTTGAAAATACCTTCACTTTTTTGACACCATTTAGGCAATTTGTTCTATATTTCCCCATCATGGTTATTTAGCACAGCAAACGAGTTGGAATTTTGTCAATGGAATTAGATCTATTCAAATTACTTCGTAATCGAAATTTCTCATTTTATGTATGTACAGAAGTCTAGATACAAACTAGTCAAATTTTTCAATACTCTCAAAATAAAGGGCAAGACATATATTATTGTTGGTTGTGAATGTAATTGTTTTTGGCTCTTCAAATGTTTACCTCAACTCAACTTAATACACCCTTTATCCCAATTATTTGGTACCCCCTACATGAGGTCTCTTTCTTCATCATGCTCTATCAAGGGCCATATTTCCACCATTAAACCGTAATTTATCAAATTTGTAACAAAAAGAAAAAAACACAACCACGCTAAGTAATGTTTCTTCAAAAATTTCTTTTCCATTTCTTACTTATTCAAAAAACTTCAGTAAAAATCTTCTTCTAATAAGGTTGATATTTCTTATTTACTCAAAAAAATGAAAAAACCTGCATATATTTCAAATAGCTATTTGATAAATGAATTACCATTTTTTTTTCTTTCTACTTTCATCTAAAATTTGAGACATTTAGAATATAATATAGTTGCCTTCCCTCAGAATTTCAAAGTAAATATACTGGCCGATTATTGGGCACAAAATTAATAAAATTATGCAACAGACGCAAAGTATTACATTTTGGAGGATGAAGATCAAGTCATACGAAACAAATCCCATTTAAATTGAACTTCCAGAATCAAATCACAAGTTTAATGATATAGTAACTTATCTATCATCACAGATAAAAAAAAAAATGTTTAAAACTTCAATTCTCACCGTGACGAGTAGTGACAATGTCATTGTCGTAGGGATTAACCGGGCGATATCTTGCTCGGAAGGGCCACAAAGAGGCCAACGGCCTCCACCTCAACCACCTGCACCGCCGGCTCCTACTTGCTTCTCTGTGAGAATCCTCAGGCTCGGGCTCGGGCTCAGGCTCCTGAGTACAACTGTCACCTGGAACTGGCACCTCATGGCGACAAACGGGACAAGAATTGTGAAGCCTCAACCAAGGTACAATGCAATCAGAATGGTATATATGATTACAAGGCAATTCTCTCACTTCCCCATCAACCTTGAATTCCTCCTTGCAAACAGGACAAAATGGCTCATTAACCAAATGAGAAGGCGAAATTGTCACTTTTGGCACAGCATTGATGGTTGAATCAGGCGCTGGTGGTGGACCTGGCCTGTCGTTTTGAGTCAGCTCCACAATCAGCTCGTCCAGGCCCGGTCCAACGAAGTAATTCTGGGGATGAACCCCTGGAGGGAGCAACATTGTTCCTGGAGGTAGATTTGGTTCAACAGGGAGAGGACCAGCGTTCGTGGGCATAGGCCAAGGCCATGGGCGGGCCATAATTCCGGCTTCCGGGCCCCAGTCATCACCCATCTCGTCGAAAACACGATTTCGCCTCCTGGGCCTCCCAGGCCAAAACCTGTTTGGTCTTCCACTTTCCAGACCTCCATGAAATCTTCCATCAACATTCTGATTTCTCCCCCTAGGCACTCGATGGCTTATATCGGGTAATTGATTCTCCCTGCTATCTGAGCTACCATTTTGCAACCTGACTGGGGGATTCATCATGAGAGATAGGGATTCTAATATGCGGGCCTCCGGGGAGGGATCAAATTGCGTGAAATCAACAACGAGTGTTGGCCCGGCCATGTCAATTTCAAATAGAAACTCCCCGAAACATCGAGGGCAGACGATCTCAGATGGGTTCCCAGTAGCGATTCTGACCGATCTATGGCATTGGTAGCACCAATAGAGCTGGTAAACTCTCTCCTCTCCATTGGTCTCCTCATTAGGGGCACCCGAAGACATGATTTTGCCGTGTTAGCTTCAAATTCAAATGGGTTTCAAATTCTAATTTTTGAGTATTCCTTTGTTTGTTGCAAGAATCAATATGATTGAAGAATTGAAATTTATATTCATAATTACGCAAAACAAAAGGAAAAGCAATACCTTTCTGGGGTTGCATGAAAAGAGATTTGGATTTGCCTTGCCGTCTCTTCTCTTCATCTGTTTTGTTTCTTCTCTACAAAGAAAAGAATTGAGGGGTGGTTTGTGGAAAGGTTTCTGGTTGAGAAGGGTTTGGCCTTTCAAAAATTTGAATTGGCAGGGAATGGTAACGGCTAACTTTCCAAGGTGGGGACGTTGTTGCTACCACTCTCTTCGGAGAAAATATTATTGTAACAAGGAAACAAGTGGATGCATATATTATTGTAACCATCTCTCTTATGTCAGACATTGGGTGACACCACTTTATCACTTACTTGATATCAATATCCGATAAAAGCGTAATAAGTAAATCTCATGTATCTAACATCAGATGTCAAGAACTGAACTGAACTGATACACAGGGGATCAAAACCACATTCGGTGGCAATTTTAACCGATTACTCATTAATTAGTCTATAAATTAGTGAGTTATATACTTATATTAATTAATATTGATCTTAAAGGGTTGAAATAATATAATTCATTTTAATTAAATAGGTTAAGATGAATTATAAATAAGTATCTATCAAGTTGAGTATTTATTTTTATATTCAATAACAAAAGTAATAAAATTAAATATACATTAATATATTAAAAAATACAAACACTAATACACTAAAAAATATACACACATTCACTAATATACCAAAATACACACCCTAAAAAATACACACATATTAATACACAAATGCACACACATCCCTCAAAAAAACACACATATACTAATACACAAAAACAATACCTCAAAATACACTCTCACACACACACACACACAAACATTAGTACACTAATACATGCAAACATTAATTCACTAATACACTAAAACAAACATCCACACATATATTAGTACACCAAAACATACATCCACACACTAATATCCTAAAAATACACAGACATATACTAAAACACACACATACACCAGACCTAGGCTCAAACCGAACTCAAACCTAAACTTGGACTTGGACCTGAACCTTACCCTAACCCATACCCAGACCGGACCTTGACCCTAACCCCAACCAAAGACTTGGACCCGAACTCGATCGATCCCCAAACCTTGAAAACGAAATCTAATGTTAATATTTGTTGGTCAATAAATTTTTACTACTTTAAAAAGTGAACATATTTGAAAAATATTTTTTTTTAACTTTTATCCTCCAAAATCATAACTATCTCATTCTTATCCCTCAATATTAAAGCTAAAATAAACCCAAGCCCCCTCATGTTCTAAAAAAAAAAAACCTACACCCCCCAATCTTCTCTCTCTCCTCTATCGTTTCATCTTCATCTTCCCTCACTCAAAATAAATATTTTTCTCTTTTTTCTTTACCTCTCTCAGAAACCCTCGATGTTTTCCTCTTTCTTCCTATTTTTCTCTGCTGCTGTCAGCATGCGTTACTCCACACATTCAATTCTTTATGCATCTCAATATTTGATGCATCTCTACTTTTTGTGGTATTGTTCTTCCACTGATATCTATTATAATTTTTTTTTTTGAGTTCACCCTAGATTTTATGATACTAACAAAATTGAACTTTCACGGAGAAATCAAATACAAACACACCATGTGTATTAGCATCCAAAAGAATAATTAGAATTTGATTACTGCTAAAAAGTCTAATAAATTGTTTGTTTAGAGTAATAACAATAAAAAAATTATGTTATAATTATCACGAATATGAATTACAATCAAACATTTTAGTAGAGATGTTTGTTAGACTTTTTAATTAGTTTTAGTTGACTTTCACTAGTATGGTTGTGATATATAATTTGAAGAAGAAGACTTAAACAGTTTTCTTAAAGTTACGTATGTGTGTTGTTTTTTAATTTGAAGAAAGGGATTTCACTCTTCATTAGCGAATTTGAAGGTTGAACTATTGGTCTTCGGCCATCCAAAATTTTCAAGAATTTTAGATCTATGCATCATTATTTATTTGTCATACATATGAATTGTCATGCAATAAAACCTCAAGATGAGGACCACAGGGTGCGCCCAACACCTAAAGATGCATATACATCAGTGACCCTTCCGTCTCTCACATGAGACCTTATTTTTTAAACTTCTGCCTCAATTTTTTTTATTCGACAGTTAAGAATGCTTGGACCAGTTTATGTGCATCTTGATTAATTCTTTCATTGGTCCAGTAAAAGGCAGGTCATTCGTTGAGTATTCATGAATGATAAATCCCTCATGGCTTAGCCAAAAGGTTGCTAAAATTCATACTTAAGATGTCTGAATTTACAGTTTGTTCATATTACCACTTTTCTTCCTATTTATTGAAGATTATACTGAATTAGATGAAATCTCTTGATCTTTCTATATAGTAATGATCCCATGTGTGTAATAGGTATCTGTCAATCCATTTTCACAATCTATTCATTTTGGGAGTAATTTTCCTGAATAGGTAGGCAAATTCCAAAAGATTTATTTTTTTTCTTTATTTTTTTGGGGTTCTTTTTTTCCTTTTTTTCGTGTTTGGTCCATTCAATTAGTTAATTTTTCTTCTATGCTGATTTTAGGTTTTTGGCTAAGTGTTTAGAGTTTTTTAGGGCTAACTTAAGAGATTAATGGACATTAAGGTGAAGAAGAAGGCTGGTCAAAAGGAGTAGCAGGTTTCTATTGCTTCACCAAGAATTATGTGCCAAAAAACATTTTTTACTAGTGAGATTGCAAATGTTGGAGAAATTAAATACCATTGCAAAGTTGAAGAGAGGTTTGAAGACTTGTTCAATGGTGCGGTGGCGTGTGATGCATGGCTCAATGCTGTCCAAATTGAATGTCTTCAATGCTTATACTATCTAACATTTTGAGTTTTCTTAGTAATTTTTGTCGAGATTTGATTAACAATTCTTATTTCTTTCATTAAACCAATGTTGTCGCTTCCACGATCCCTGGTTGGTGTGAAGTCATGAGATCTAAGACCGTTTCAAGACTAAATAGAATTAAAAAAGTGTCTCACTGACAAAAAAGACCCATGACTTCGTGTCTTTTTTAAACTTTAAATATTGGCTAATGATCCCATATAAACCTCATATTGGGTTGATTTACTTTCTTGCAAGAACTAGTAATGCCTGGGGCTAGGAAATCGATTTGGCTGATTAGATGCGGCATCACATGGGTATCAATTCAGGCCTTACTTTTGCAATTCTTTATAATATACAACAGTTTTTTTTTCCGTTTTTATACTTTTGAAATTTTTGATGAAGGAGATAGAACAAATAACGTCTTTGGTAGAAAAGTGGCACATGTTTTTACAATTGAATTCCAAAAAAGGGGTTACCGCACATGCATGCACTTTTGTTCCTTCATGGTTCTGATAAAATCCAAACATGTGCTCAAGTGGACAGAGTAGTGTGTGCTGAATTTTTGGATTGTCAACTGACCCATTGCTTTTTGAAACAATCATAGGTTGCATGGTACACGGACCATGTGGTGCTCGAAATCCACAAGCATCATGTATGGAAAATGGGGTATGTACCAAGCGGTACCCTCGGTCATTTGTTGAATCAACAAGTATGGACTCTGATGGATATCCTGTCTATCGTCGTCGTAATACTGGTCAGAAGTACATCGTGAGGGGACAAGAAATTGATAATAGAGATGTTGTGCCACATAATCCGTACTTATCAAGAATGTTCAACTGTCATATCAATGTTGAAGTTTGTGCAGGAATCAGATGTGTAAAATACATTCACAATTATATTTATAAAGGACATGATCGCGCAACAATGGTACTTGGAGGAATTAATGAGATCCAACAATATCTTGATGCTAGGTATATTGGACCTCCAGAAGCTGCGTGGCGATTATTTGGTAATCCTTTACATGAAGAGATTCCGTCAGTTGTAAGATTGACACTTCATTTGCCTGGGATGCATCGTGTGGTCTTTAACCTGCTGAATCTTTGATACGATCCTTTCTAAAGGTGCACATCAAGAAACAACTCTAACTGGTTTTTTTGATTGTTGCGCTGCAAATGAATCTGCACGTGTATTAACTTATCAGGAATTTCCACAAAAATTTGTTTGGAACAAGTCTATCAATAAATGGACTCCAAGACAAAGGGGTTATGCAATTGGTAAATGTACTTTGCTAGCCCTAATTCAGGTGAGCGGTTTATTTTACGTTTGCTTCTAACTGTTGTCAGAGGACCTACTTCATTTGACTGGCTACGCACGGTAAATAATGTTATGCATGATACATTCAAGTCAGCATGTGTTGCAAGAGGACTTCTTGAAGATGATGAGAATGGATACAATGTCTTCAAGAGGCTGCAATTATGAGAACGGGGTACCAATTAAGAAGATTATTTGCCATAATTCTAACGGAATGCTTTCCATTGCATCCATTTGCATTGTGGAAGCAATTCTCAGCACATATATGTGATGATTTAGCACACAAGATTCGTACTATGTTTGGTATTTTGAATCCAACTAATGATCATATTGAAGATTATGGCTTATATTTGATTAATCAATTGCTCCATGAGTCGGGGAAGAGTTTAGTTGACTTTCCACCCATGCCACAATCAATTGGAAATTGGAATGCAACAGTTAGAATATATTATTGTTTGAGCATCACCAACTTCAGAATGAAGCACAACAGTCTGATGCACAAATTAATGTTGACGGTCTTAATGATGCACAACTTGCTGCTTATACTGTCGTCACAACGTCAGTATGTGAAAACATAGCAACTACTTTTTTTTTGAGTGGAGGTGCTGGGACGGGAAAAACGTTTTTGTACAATACCATTGCAACCAAATTGCGTAGTTATGGACATGTTGTTGTTACTGTGGCTTCATCTGTATTGCATCGTTGTTATT